ACATCGTCTTCATTATAATCATCGATCAAGTTTTGTAGATTTTCCCAACAAACCAATTCCCCAATTACTGCCAGCACGTTCAAAATCGCAACCTCATTACACCATATCTAAAAAATTTCTACGTCGACATTTTTCATTAACCACTGTGGACATAAAATCTTTACCACCGCCTACACGTCCTCCAAATGTTCCATTGCCTCCAATTCCACAGAATCAACAAGAGTTAGACTCACAATCACAATCACAATCAGAATCGCAATCACGATTGCAGAATGAGTCAATAGCGGAAATTCAATCACAACCACCACCATCATCGATATCAAAATCAACACCCAAAGAAACAAATAATGATTCACCAATTGATTCAAAAGAAAAATTTGCAACTAATTACACTGATGAAGATAATATTGATCCATATTACGCAAAAGAGTTGTCAGCTTCATTGAATAATAATAAAATAGAGAAAATAGAAGAAAATGAAGAAAATGAAGTTGAAAAAGTTTCTAGTTCAGAAACTCCTTATGATGATAATCAAAAAGATGATATTATAGAGGAAGATATTACTAAATTGCCAGCATCTGAATTAACTTTTGTGGTTGTTGAGGAAACAAATGGTGATGGTGAAATAATATTAAATCTTCAGGATGTAAATGAGATAAATAGTAACAATAATGATGACAATGAGGATAGTAGCGGATCAGTCAAAAGAGTTATTAAAGATGATTTTGATGTCATTTCAGGAAAAGCTAATCACAATAATAATCTTCTCGTTACATGATCATCTTCAATGTAAATTTTTACATCTTAACATTTAATTTTACGCATTCAATTTTAATCATTTCATTTACATATACATAAATAATATATAAATGTGCGTGTGTTAATTTTTAATGTTTCTTTTGTATAAAATCATAGGTTATTGTATTATTGTATTAATATTTTTTGTTTAAAAATTATTTTATATTTATTTATTTTTTCATTACTCCAAAAAAAAATTACATTTACTCAGAAAATAAAATTATCAACAAGTCTTTCTATATTTAATAACGACAAATCTAATAAAAATAATTTAAATAATGTATAATTTTTTAATCTTCTTCATAATCTGGTACAGTTGAGTCGTGGGATTCTAAAGGATAGTATATTATTAATATTGATTTTGTTAATAATAATCTTTAAATAAAAAATAAAATAAAAGTAATAATTAATTACCATTATGATTACAAATGATTGTTAGTTTGTTGGAATTTACAGGTTGAGGAAGATTTGTAAAGTTTAATAACCTGCTGGTGTAAATAGCATTTGGATGTATAATTGTCGTTATTGTTGAAGGATCAAATTCAATCTTATCCATTTTATCAAATGATTTTCTGATTGACTCTGTTTCGCCGATTTCTTCACCAGAATATCTATGATGATTCTTTATGGTATTTATATCATCAAGTGACTTGTACCAATATTTGATAATTTCTCTGATTTTTTTTGCAGTTGGTCGGTTAATAGGATCAGCATCCATGCATCTGTACGCTAATTCGATATAAAATTTAGGAGTATTGTTGGAAAATCCAGGTCTCTCACCTTCACATATTTTAATTGCAAGATCTATATCATGTGCAATAGTACTAAATGGCCGTCGGCCTGTTGACACCACTGACATTAACACTCCAAAACTGTATATGTCAGATTCTGTTGTAAATGGTTTGCCATTTAGCACTTCTGGTGCAATATATGGCAGCACTCCACAAACATTATTCTTATTCGACGATGACGACGACGATGATGAGGTCTGATCAACCGGACAGGAGGATAATCCTAAATCTGCAATGAATGCAAAAACTTCCAGTAATATATTACCACTATGGAAATCATGATGTACGATATTTTTTGAGTGGATGCTTTGTAAACCATCAATTATATCCAAAAGGATTAAAATTTTCCTGGACCAATTTAAAGTTTTAAATTCTTTTGATAAATAATTATGAAGACTTCCATCTTTTATATAATCGATTATAAATATATATTCTTTTGTAGTCGGATCTTGTGTCAACCCATAAATATGAACTATTCTATGATTTTTTTTATAAAATTTAACATAATTTTTGAACTAAACAAAAAAAAAATTTTTTAAATGTGTGCGTGTAAGTGTATTTAATTATTAATAATAATAAATCTTTAAAAAAAAAATAATTGAATAATAATTTTACCTCGCTTAAAAATTCTTTTGAAATATTTTGAGAATTATGCAGTTTTTTTAATGCTACAACTCTATCTTCACAACATCTTTTTTTGGTGTCAATATTTACATACCTACAACCATTAATCCATGTAGCTTTGTACATAGTTGTAAAACCACCTTCGCCTATCTTTTCAACATCTTTTAATACTTTGTAAGGAACCCACTGAAGATAATTATCATTACGATAAATAGATGATTTATGTTGAGTACTTTTAATTAATTCATCCAACATCTCATTACCACTAGTCCATCCTCGAGTTAGTAAATATGGATCACATGTTTGACACCATAAAACCGCAGTATTATATTTATTACAAGTTAAGCACTTGCCATACTCTTCTTTTCTTTTATCCGAATACCTATCAATCTTACTTGCTTTATCTTAAATTGATGTAGATTAAATTGTGCAATTTTAAAAAAAAATTGGAATAAATCAAATTAATATAATTCAAAATTTCCAAAAAAAAAAAAAATGGTGAGTTTTTTTTTTTGGGCAAATAGTATTGTTGTTGAATATTTACCAATTTTCTTAACTAAATGTTCATCATCATGAGTGTCGATAGAATTAATATTCTTTTCTTCTTCAGTTGAAGCCTTTTGATTTTTGAATAATTTTTTAATCTTATACATTTTTTATTTTTTTATTTTTTTTTTTAATAAAAATTTTTTTTTCCAATTTAAATAAAAATTTGATAAATGACTCCGCCGTTTTGTGAATGAATGAAGTCACAAGGCGCGAACAAGTTTTCCATTATTAAATTGATAAATGAATGTGTGTTACTTGATATCGATGATCCTAAGAGGTGTTTATATTAATTATGAACTTTCGCCGCCGCCTAACATCCGAGCTGCGGCTCATAAATTAATGCAATTATCAAGCTTTATCCCGTTTGGGTTATCGTTATGTTGTATATAGTCGATACTGTTTGCCCTTTCATTTCAAGCAAAATATAAAATGTTTTAGCTTGATATTTTAAATTGGTATTTATACATACATCAGGAAAATAAATCTCACGTAAACCTACGCAGGGTTTAAAACTGACCAGCATTATGCGGAAATGTTAACAGAATTACCAAAATATCGACATAATGCTGGCCAATTCTGAACCCTATGTAGGTTTACGTAAGATTTATTTTCCTGATGTAGTTGAATTTTCGATAGGTTCTCTTTATGGTGGAAATAAAAATTAATAGTTATTTTCTAGAAGTTTAAAAAACAGTGCCCTTTTTGTCACACTCTACCTTTAATAAGAGGAAAACAAATGTTGTTATAAACGTTTGGTGGTTTTAAAGGCCTTTTTGATAAAAATTTTGAGTTGTAGAATTATTATTATTTGTCATAGTAAAAAAGTATATATTATTTAATTCATTTATATTTCAATTGAAACTAGTGTATTAGTATTGGTATTGGTATTTTTTGAAATTTTCGATTGAATTACAAAGGATTCTTTTTTGAAGGTTTCCGATTACATTTTGCACATATCTTTTCAGTGCCCTTTAAATTGTCATAAGGAGCCCAATAATAATAAGTGCGTCAAAAATAAAGCAATGTAGAGTGTTAATATTTGATAACAGTAAAAGATGTGACAGACATATTTATATTAAATACAAAAAACCTTATTAAACCAAGGTTCGAACAGAAAATTTATTGCTTTAGAAAGTTAATTAGTTTCGACTAAGGAAAACTTTGTCACAAAAGTTTATAATTCCGTTTTCTATATGTTTAGTATATATATATAAAAAAAAAGACAGACATCTCAATCATTAATGAGAGACACAGAATCCTTACAACGGAACCTCTGGTGTATTGTACCCACTCCTTTGATTCATTGGTAAAAGTAATAACAGCCTTTTCTACCTTGCCAAGAATTTTACACCGTTAAAATTATAATATTAAAATATTAATATACCTTTTTAAAATATTCGTAATAACAAATATTTTCAATTAATTAATATTTACTAAGCTTGTAAATGCCTCTATGCTCTCGCTACAATCAATGTATAAATTGATAATCTGCCTTTCTATTTTAATAATCATTGATCATTAATCATATATAAGTAAATAAAATAAATGGATATTTGTTTCTAATAAAGTTCCTGAATTAAGGCTATATATACCAAAGATACCAAAGATACCAAAGTTAATAAAATAACCTCAAAGTAAATTGTGGTTTAAATTTTGAATACAATCGAGTAAGTATATGCGACAGCCGAGCGTATATATAAGCATTCGAAAAATTCATTATTAACCTTTATACAAGATAAAGAATATAAAAGAAAAAATATATTGTGAGTTGTTGAATGTTCGAAATTTTCAAATGTATCTCCACCTGAATTACCAAAAAAAAGTAAACAATAATTTCATTTATGTATATTCTAAAAGACCTCCTAAATTTTGCATAAATTTTAAAAGTATAGAAGTCACCTTCTGTCCTATCTTTTAAAAAAATAACGTTATTAGTTGATAGAATAGGTCTTTAGTTTTAATGTAATAATAAGATTTTCTCATTCTTCACGAGAAATTTGATCAGTAGATCATCACTAAATTTAGACTAGTACACGACTATCGTATCTAAATTTGGCGTTAAGAAATAATTTTAGAACTAAAAAATTTTTATTACATTTTACATTTTTGAACGAATTACAAAATTGCTATTTTGAAATTTGGCCTTATGGCGCAGCAATAGGGGTCTTTAGACTGAGCCAACCATAATAGAAAAAAAAATAGAAAATAGTAAAATAAAAAAAAAATAAAAAAATGAGGTTAGTAATAATTAACTCTATGCCATAACGTATTGAAAATTTGGTCCATTTTAAATCGATGTTGATTCATCTTCATTGAATGATAAGAATAGGCTGCAAAAAGATCTTCATTCTTGTTTCCACAATTTAATGAAGGAACATTTAAATTTACATCGGGACTATTTAAACCACTGATGTTGTTATTAATTGAATGTGAAGTATGCGAGTTGTTTTTAGCATAAACTAATTGGCAGTGTTGCTGTGGTGGTTGTGGTGGCAAATATTGCGCTTCCAGTATGTTATTGTTGTCGATATTAGTCATTTTTTGAAATGGTGAACTTGTTGCAGTAATTGATAATGAATCATCAAATGCAATAGTTTCTTGATCAGGATTTTGAGTTTGTTGTTGAAGAAATTGCTGGGTTGGATTATTAATTCGTTGCATATAAATGTGTTGTTGACCGGAATTTTGAGCCTGTTGCTGTTGTTGCACGTGACTCCAAAGTTGTCCTTGTTGGAGTTGTTGCTGAAGTTGCTGAGCAGAATGTTGAAACTGATCATCATAATAACAATAACAATTTTGTTGCTGTTCATCCTGAATTGGTTGATTTGGTGGCGACATTTTTGGTGAAATAGTATATTTGACGGTTATAATTATTTCAGATGTTATTGAGTTGACGCGTCGTCACCAGTGATTTGTTAATGCTCTTAAATAATACCAATAATATTAGTTTATTAAATAATTGTTAAACACGGCCAAGTGTTTTTTATTTATTTTTATTATATAATATTATTAATATTATTAATATCAATCAACCCTTTAACGGATAATTTTCCAAAGAATATATTTGGGATATAAACTTTCGATTAATAGTATTTTAAAATATATAAAGTTAAAAGTGTTAAAAGGGTTTTAGAGTTTTAGAATTTTAAGAATTTTTTTCTTTGGTAAAGAAAAACGATAATCAGTTGAGTATTTTTTTACTCGTATTTATATATTTTCAGAGCTTCTTTATTTTTATCGTTATACATTTAAAGAATCCAAAAATAAGAATGTTTGTGCCAATCATTTATTATTATTTTACAACCCGTAAGGTTAAATTCACACATATTCTTATCACTTTGCATTCTCATAAAAATTCATTCCCTTAATTGTTTTGATGATGGGACAAATACTATATAAATACAAGTGTGAGTTTTTAATAAACACGGAAAATTTGATTTTTAAGGCAAAATCAGGAAAAAAAATTTTTTTTTAAATATTAATATATATACATATTGGTCGATCCCCTACAAAAAAAATTTTTTTTCAATCATCTAATATTCAATTTTCTATATATATATATATAGTGTTTTATTACCATTTTGGAAATACTTTACAAGATCATCACAAAATTTATCCTAATTAAAAAATGATATTCGATTTTGAGGGTTCATTACTACCCAAAATTGAAATGTACCATCTCCTAAGATTGTTCGGGTCCTGTTTTTCACTTGGTTGTCAATTAAATTTTATTAGCAAGTAGCAGTAGTTATAGATCCAACTTTCCTTCAATTAATTTTTTATGTTTGATTTCTAACATTTAATTCATCTACGATTTCCATTAAAAGCTTCGCCAGAAGAATCAATTAATGCGGTTAATTTGTTCAGAATTTTGATTTTATCAATGGAAAATTATTTTTGAGCTCTGTCTATTTAGCACATTAAACAAACATAAATTGATTAGGCTTAATTTACAGTTGATATTTAATAGCGTGAATTTCATCCAAGTCGATGTATGCGCGATTTCGTGTGTCGTATTTTACGCGAATACACTGATTATTAGAATCAATTAACGATCGGAAAAAAAAAACAAGGACAAGATGATGAGATGATCAAGATCAAGATCGAGAAGGAAGAAAAGGATAACAACAATAAAAAAATTACAAGATAAAAGAAGTTATTATTCAGAAACAATGGATCTTCAACAAACATCTAAACAATTCAAGAAGTTACTGGAACTAAACTAGTTATCAAAATACAATTAAATTGTCAAACATAAAAAAAGATCCCTCAAGGAAATTTATTTTTCAATAAAATTTCAAATGAAATTGGGGATAAAAATGCACGATTATTAATATTAATAACGAGTGTTTTTATTATTTACTGAATAAAAATTTAATTTGAACTAATTTATCATTTAGTTTTTTATGGATTAATGGGCTTATCCAATAAATTCATCCTTTTATATCTGAATTATATATATATTGACTGTTCAAGGATAGGACTCGGTGCGACATAAATATGTAAATTATTAGTGGTGACATTTTTGTATTCAGAATATTCTAAATTATATATAGAAAACGTAGGTTAAAGTAAAGTTTTAAAGTATATAGTAATTAAATGTTGATTTATAACAAAAAATATAGATACAGGTTCATATTATTTACAGATAAATGATACCCAGTTTTGGCTTGAATAAACCTATAATGGACGACTTTTTTATGGTTTACTGTTACCACAAGGCGAAGAAGACACAAAGAATTTAAGTTTTTGAAATAAAATGAATGAACCTCCAATGATCTACTTTATTTATATGGGCCTTTTCAATAGAAATGAGAAAATGTCTAAAATGACTTTGGAGTTAATATGCATGTAATGAAGATTTTTGGCTTAAAAACGATATCCATTTTGCCAGAGACTATGATTTTCTGCATAGCGCAGAATACCGCAGAAATCACGGAACTTAAAACAGAAAACACTATTATAAATAATAATAATAATAATAATTTACTTATGTACCTCGCGTTTTCCCGCACATTTAAAAAACCTTGAAGCTCTTTTCTGTCAAAAATATGTTGCTATTATAAATCACGGATATGCTTTATTTTACGTAATAGTAATATTAACGGTGGTGTAACTTAAATATTAAATATTTAGAATTCCTATTTTGTAATAGGAATAAATAAAAAATCACAATCAAATAATCACAACAAAAATTATTTAATGGTCGCGTCATTGTAAATTCGCTTTTTTTGAAAAAGGATAATTTTTTCATGCAACAGTATGCATGCGGAATTTGTTTTTGGGACGGGCAGAATTATTATTATGCAGTAAATATTAGTATCTTTAAAAAGTTCACCATGAAAGAAAATAACCGCAGTTAATTTTAAATCCGGTTAATTGGATGCCTCTCTATTTACACATATATCTATTTACAGGATTACATGTTGAATATATATTTTTACGGCCATTTTTTTTTACCTTCAATAGCGTGAGCGCTAGTTCACAGGAATGCGAATGGGAATAGAAGTTATTCAAACAATTATTGAAAGTTGAGAACTTTTTCGCCCACAAGTAAGTATAATTGGAATTTGTCTAACGGTTCGGTACTGACTTTATGTTTCCGATCAGAGAACGGAGCTTATGGGCATAATTTTGATATTTGAGAAACTAGCTTCACTTGATGTTTTCCTCGAGGGGAAATAGAATCAAACTACATATAAATTTTACAAATTAATAAAAAAGTCATTTTCTTTCAAACTTTAAAGTAAGTTTAGAAATTTAAAATTGGCAAATTTTGCGGAAAATACGTGGTCAATAGTTTTCCCTGTGCTGTGTAATTGCCATCATTATCATGTTGATTATCTAAATTTTTTATATCTTTCTTTAAAAAAGTTAGTTAGTTTTTATGATAAGATACATTTCATTGTAATCTTGCAGTGTTATTTTAATAAAATCCATGAGATAAGATAAGATTTATTGTTATCTCTTATCAAAAATAGAATTATTTTAATCATTAGTACTTGAAGTATGTACGGAATATGCAAGAATTTATTTACAATATTAATATGTGATTATAATAGTACGGAATAAATTTCAAATGTACATAATAATAATGTAAACTTTATCAAATTAAATACACACGACAAATTTCTTTCCCAAAATTATACTAATTAAAATATTATAACCTTTATATCATTCCAAAGCTCTTGTTCTTGATAATATGTTCGTGATATCAAATTTTGAAGTTTTATATGAAAAAATAAAAAATAAAAAATAAAAAACAATGTAAAAATAGCGAAAATATTGATATTTTTTTGTTTTTAAACCAATGGGAAAGAACTATGAACTTGAATTTAATTGACAGTATTCCCTCATAGAATTGAAGATTGCATTGCAATCAATATATTTTTTTTTTTGAAATATAAGAGTAAGCTTTTTTTATCTATTAATATTTTGTTATTTTTACTTTGTTTTTTTATTTTTTATCTTTTTTTCATATAAAATTTCAAATTTTGATATCACGAACATATTATCAAGAACGAGAGCTTTCGAATGATATAAAGGTTATAATATTTTAATTAGTATAATTTTGGAAAAGAAATTTTGGATGCAAACTTTTGTCCACCGAGTGTACATTTGGAAATGTATCAAATTCCTTACACGATGATGTTGTTATTATGGCGAAGGAAAACCCCATAAAATGTAAATCTTAAATTCTTTGCATGATGTATGTTATTATTCTGGCGAAGGAAAATATAAGTTTTAATTCCTTACACAATTTATGTTGTTATTTAGTATAAATGTAATTTTTAATTCTTACATAATGCACAGTAAAATGTATATACACAGACAGACTCGATAAGTCAGCCGCATAATTTATACTATTGAGTACTTTAAACAATTGATTACTGCGGGC